AAATAGACTTTAAACTTACACTGTCGATCCCTTTATCATATATTATAAATATATATTAACATCCTGAGACGACAAAATCACCTTTAGTTGGTATAAGGGAGAAAATTAACCGTTATTGTGTTAACGATTCGAGTACATAATTACTTCACCATTCACAGACAACTTAACCTATATTTTCAGTCCTGGTTTTGTTACATATAGTAATAATAAGTAATAAGTGGACGCAGGCAAAACAAATGCCTCAATATCCATATCTAAAATTATATGATGGTCAGGAGATGTTTCCTATAAAAATTGTAAGATTCTCAGTTATTACATATATATAGCCAATTAAAAGCTAAAAAGCATAAAAAAATTCACTATTTTCAAGTTGAAATGGCATTATATTGTTTCTGGGAAGGCGCACAATTTTTCTACTCCAAGGTGGTCCACGGACACGGTATACATAGTCATCCGTTTCATTGTTTTCTTTCTGCTTCGCTTCCTCGTATAATGCCTTCTCTGCTTCTCTTTCACATTGTGTTAAGTCGTTTCTTATTCCTATTGAGGAAAGTTGACTATGATTTCTTTTTTTTCTGATATTTTTAAAGATTCCTTTCTTTGGTTTTTGCGACTCAAAACGAACTAGAATAGGCCGGCTGTTATTGGTTATGTCACTGGATTCTGTCTCTTTCCCAATCGTATAATTTTTCTAGGCCTATCTTTGTTTGACACTCCACAGACTTCTTATACATTTCCTACAACTTTAGCATCTTCTTCCATACGTTTCTTGCCTTCGTGATGGGACTGTTCCTGAACTCCAAATAGAATTATGTTGTTTTCCCTCTCTACCCGCTCTTTAATTTCAGCAACTATTTCGTCTTTGCTTGGTGCAGATTTCTCACATTTCAAGTTCATTTCCAGTTTAGCGATTAACCCTTTTACCTCTCTTTCAAGTTCCGCAATTCTATCTTCAAATTCTTGCGTGATTTGTCTATACCTCTCTTCTATTTTTCTGTCCGTGAGAATATTCTTTTTGACTGTCATTCTACATGGTGGACAAAACCACTTTGTATATGATTTTGATAGGATGTCATATTTCTTTGAATCAAAATCCAGACATCTGATGCAGAAAAGGTCCTGGCATAGATTACACTTCATGTACTTCTTTGCTTCCTTCGAGCATGTCTTGCAGTTATACTGTTCCTCCATCAATGCGTCGTTGAAGGACTCTTTCGAGTTGGATCCCAGTTTAGAAGGCGACTTCTTGCTACTTCTTTCACTTCCGGTTTTGCCTTTAGTCATTTTATCTGTTATTTCGCGTATATTTTCGTATCCACGAATTCACACTAAATCTAGGATGGTCTCCTGATCACTTCTATACTATATGTATCGATAATTACCTCCTTATCGGCAAATTATTAACGAGATTTACCCCTTTGGCTACGGAGCATCCTCAAGTACGACTGTATCCATGGCGTGTATTATGATTTTACATAATAAATTGGAACGATGGAAATAAAGCGCGGCAGAGAATGTAAAAATGAAAAATAATTACTCCCGTGAGAATGCAACAAAATGTGGTTTCATAATCTACACCATCACAAAACAATCTTTTTTATTTACGGGTTAAAGAGTCGTGTTATGGTTGATTTACGAACTTGTTTTTTTTGCTAGAAAACAATCCCTGCACGCGCATGTTGTATCGTTCAGAAATAATGACTATCAACCAATGAACAGCATCGTTACATCACCAACTTGGTATAATAGAGTATGATATTGTTGTAGTTTGATATGCATCGTTATCATAAACAAATCTAAACTAAAAATCGTAACAATGTCAACATCGTAAACACAAACAAATCTAAACTAAAAATCGTTACAATGTCAACATCGTCAACACAAACAAATCTAAACTAACAATCGTTACAATGTCAACATCGTCAACACAAACAAATCTAAACTAACAATCGTTACAATGTCAACATCGTCAACACAAACAAATCTAAACTGACAATCGTTACAATGTCAACATCGTAAACACAAACAAATCTAAAATTGCAAACGTTACAAAGTCAATATCGTCAACACAAACAAAAATCAGAACAAACAATCTTTATAATGTCAACACAAACAAATCTAAACTAGCAATCGTTACAATGTCAACATCGTCAACACAAACAAATCTAAACTGACAATCGTTACAATGTCAACATCGTCAACACAAACAAATCTAAAATTGCATGTCAACATTGTAAACACAAATCTAAACTAAAAATCGTTATAATGTCAACACAAACAAAAAATCTAAACAAACAATCTTTATGTCAACATCGTCAACACAAACAAATCTAAACTAACAATCGTTACAATGTCAACATCGTCAACACAAACAAATCTAAACTGACATTCGTTACAATGTCAACATTGTAAACGCAAACAAATCTAAACTAAAAATCGTTACAATGTCAACATCGTCAACACAAACAAATCTAAACTGACAATCGTTACAATGTCAACATCGTAAACACAAATACAAACAACTCAAACTAACAATCGTTACAAAAATTGTCAACAATCGTCAACACAAACAAATCTAAACTAACAAACGTTACAATGTCAACATCGTCAACAAAAACAAATCTAAACTGACAATCGTTACATTGTCAACATCGTCAACACAAACACCTCTAAACTAACATTCGTTTCATGTCAACATCGTAAATACAAACAACTCTAAACTAACAATCGTTACATTGTCAACATCGCCAACACAAACAAATCTAAACTAACATTCGTTACATTGTCAACATCGTACATACAAACACCTCTAAACTGACATTCGTTACATTGTCAACATCGTCAACACAAACACCTCTAAACTAACATTCGTTACAATGTCAACATCGTCAACACATACAACTTTAAACCAACAATCGTTACAATGTCAACATCTTTAACACAAACAAATCTAAACTAAAAATCGTTATAATGTCAACATCGTCAACACAAACAAATCTGAACTTACAATCGTTACATTGTCAACATCGTCAACACAACAAATCTAAACTAACAATCGTTATAATGTCAACATCGTCAACACAAACACCTCTACACTAACATTCGTTACAATGTCAACATCGTTAACACAAACAAATCTGAACTTACAATCGTTATAATGTCAACATCGTCAACACAAACAAATCTAAACTAACATTCGTTACAATGTCAACATCGTCAACACAAACAAATCTAAACTAACATTCGTTACAATGTCAACATCGTTAACACAAACAAATCTAAACTAACAAACGTTACAAAGTCAACATCGTTAACACAAACAAATCAAAACTGACAATCGTTACAATGTCAACATCGTTAACACAAACAATCTTGACTTACAATCATTACAAAGCAAACACCATCAAGACACAATCTACACCAACACCCGATTTAAAACTTACGAGCAGGATATACCTATATTTACAAAGATGATGAAGCATTTGCTGATAACATAGGGAAATGTTATACGAAAGCTTTCAAAACATACTTACTGTATCATGTTACAGATTACATCTGCAGTGACTTCAATGTGCTTTGCCATTTGTCGATTAGCGTACAGCTAAAACTAGATCGTTATGCAAACAAACCTGCCCTCATAGTGTGTCGACCAATGTGCACAACCGACTTCATGGATACTTTAATACGAACAGTGTATTGAGGCGAATTTTAAAGGCGAAGAGTTTTCACAAATTGATATAAAACATAATAACTTACTAGAATGTTAATTGCTAAATCTTTTCATTACAAAGAGACTTTTAACCACGTCTGCCGCTAGATAAACAACTCTATACCATCATTAATCTCATTATATTATATTAGAGAGAAATATATCTTTGTAAATATCCTTTTAATATACGTCAAAATCTTTGAAATGTTTTAATTTATATGAAACTCTGAGAAGAAAAAAGCAAAAAAGTTTGAATTTTTTAGATCTACTCCTGATAGGTACAATTATCTGTATGTCAAGACCAGACTATTGCTTTCAACCACTCGTCACGATGTCCAGAAATGTATAAACCACGCCATATATTTATCAAGGCGAAACACCTTTCGAAAACATTTGAATATTTATAACGTATTTTACGTTTACATATGGAAATGTATGTGGATTAAAATCTCATGAAAAGATATCGATGTATTTTTATTTTCAAATAATCATACATATTTAAAGCAGCTATTGATGATGACAAACTTTCCATTTTACTTTCTGCTGCAAATTATCATTTTACACCCTAAATAATTGACCAACAAGTGATGGCACTCATTAGGAGACAACGTATATTGAAACACGTCAACAAATAACACATAGTACAGCATGTCGATGTGATGGTGTTATGAATTCGAGTTGGTGTGTGTTGAAACTGTTTTCCCAGTTTTTCGTCATCGCCAAATGGTTACCATGGTAGCAATTCTTTAGAAATGGAAACATTTCACATATATGGTTGAAAAAATTTTCTTATCCGACTATTAATTACAGCGACGACAAACATTCTGTAATGCTTTCTTTTCCCGCACAAATCTGACAACTCTTGATGCAAATTATATTAAGCATACAGCACATCAGATATTTGTAATGTAATTTATTTCATATACACATCACAAAAATCCGGATATACTCAGGGAGATTTCTTATAAAGTATACATACAGACATCAGGCAATTAATTTCATAATTTGCAATATAAATAACAATTTAAAAAACAGGAATCTGAAAACACGAAACAATGATATCACGAGATATTGAGTCTAAATAAAATACTGAACGTGGATCTATTTTTGTATCATCCGAGCAATATGTTTATGAATACATGATGAAAATAAGCGTCTAATTTTGAATGAACAATTTTTATAAATAAAATATATAAAAATAAACAATTTTAGATATATATAAAAAAAACCTTCTACATCAATGGCACAGATATTGAATCTTAGAGGAAAAATATTGTCACACTAGACATACCATATTTCGTTGTTTACGCGTCCTTCAGTCCAAGTTTAGACGATGTTTAACAATAAGACTGCAATGTACAGGTACCTGTAGTGTACACATGACGAGGTATGTGATCGGGGTAACGAGTGTATGGCAAGTTGGTATGACTATGTGTGTTCGCTGGAAACAGATTATTTCTACACACAAACTCGAAGTTTCCTAACTTTGAATATAAATGTAAACGTAATATACTCCCTTAAGAGGCCAGAATGCTCAGGAAACAACTGAATAGCAGAGCTGACCGCAATCAAAACAAGGAGCACGCCATACGGGATAATGTAGGAGATACGAGGTTGAAAAATGGGGTCACAAAATCGTAGTTATAACTACATAGAAATGAAGACTATACCATTATTACAGAACCACACCAAACAATTAAAAAATATCACTTAATATGAACTGTAACAGTTCTACCTACCTGTTTGTGATGAGCTGAAAGTCCATGCGATACTCGCCGAACCTGCTGGTAGTTCCGGAAGTGAATTTTTCGTTTGTTATCGTCTGTATAAAAGCCGAGACTTAACATATGTGTGTACATACCCGTTTATAAATGGTGACTATGTGTGACGCTAACACCCCGGCTTTAACACCAACCAGGGGAGAGTGTATACCTACTGTACATTGGTTTGAGACGCTGAAGTACTCCATGATTAATTAAAACATCTTAAACAAATTTAAGCAAGCCTAGGAACTGTATATTAATGTTGTTTAAATCAAACGCAGTGAAATATTCAAATATAATAGTACCTACTTTAGATAAACAGTAATATTCCTTATTGTACGTAGAATATACATTTTTGAAGACAACCGCTCATTATTACTAAATTTTATGCAGTTGACCATTCCTTAACAGAAGATACTTTTGTTCAGAAAATAAACAACTTTGTTGATCAATATGTTCAGTAAATGAAGTTTACAGTTTACATACAGCTATATAGTGATTAAATTTCGTATGTTTTTTTCTTTCACGGAGACATTTTTGTTATTTTAAGTAACTGTATTAAGATCCGACAATGTGACAGGTTGTTATGAGAAGACCTCGTACTGAGTGACAAATACTGAGAAATTCTAATGGGTGCATTTAATGGAACGTCTTTCAAAGAAATGATATTTCTCTTTAGTTTCTGTTTTGGTTTTAGCTATTTTTCAATTGGCTAGAATTTCGGGTCGAGTTGTCACAAGAGAAGTACATTTCCGTAATCTAGAGACACGCAACTTCATTAAATTCCCACAAATACACATCCCGGAAAGTACCACTTACAACAGATCATAAAATATATCAACACAGTGTTACACCAGTACCAGTGAAGTACAAGATGTAAAGTGTCTGTAGGTTTTATGATTCATAATATCCTGCTCTTGGCCGACTCGTCATAGAAGTGATCACCAGGAAAGGTTTCTTGCCAAGTCCTTCTCGAATTTCTCTTCCGGACAGATAATTAAGGATTAAACTCATAAATTCAATGGCGAACGAGATAAATTGCGTAAACGCAAATAGAAACAGTGACATTTAGCAACCGCAGGGACTTGGCACGAATTCCTGACCACGGTCAATATATAATGTATTATAGTGACAAGAGTTGTAACTACCCAGATGGGACAACTAATGATAAACATAATAGTTCTACTCACAGGGACTTGGCACGAATTCCTGACCACGGTCAATATATAATGTATTATAAGTGACAAGAGTTGTAACTACACCGAAGGGACAACTAATGATACACACAATAGTTGTAATCACAGGGACTTGGCACGAATTCCCGACCCACGGACCATATACAATGTATATGTTACAACCCTTGTTGTTACCAATAAATATTACTGGGAAATCATTGATATTTTGGTGTTTTCCAACAATAACAAACTACCGGTTCTAAACTTTGGTAAATAATAAATCGCCCTGAATATCTATTGAACGGTTTATTGTATAAAGATTGAATCACTATGCAACACGTCTTTAAGGAAGGAAGATAGATGCATGATCTAATTAATCATTGTTTATTCTCATTGTGACAAGAGTAATAATACAAGATTGGACAGGATGGGCATTACTGTGCATCAATTACCTCATCATTATCAGTAATAAATCTTACCAATTATAGTAATTCGTGTTAGATTACATAATTGAATGATGTATGAAATTAGAAAAATGTTGCTTTTAACCTCGCTTTCGATATCATCTCGGTCGCTCTCGCTTATTAAATGTCACAGGAATATTGCAATTAATGGGAGATAACTCCGATGTACTCAAACTTTGGGCATCGCTCTTTCAGTAATCATGACGCTAAAATGGTTTTGTTATCAATATCTTCCGATTCAAAACTGACGTATCTGCTCAAAGAAACATACCTCGAAACCAAACAATCAGAAAAAAATATATTCTTGTGATTTTATTAATTTTGAAAGGAGTATATAATTCTGACGAAAATTGTCCGTGACAAGCAGAATTGATTACTTTACAATGGAGATATTCACCGACAAATCTATCAAGTTTACAGTATCTCAAAAACTATGTATGATCGTAGCGAGTCCAAATTAAATATGACTACCTTTAACGCTATTTTGTTCACCTTAGGGTATACTTAATATATAACTTTATTAATCATCCAAATTCCTTGGAATATTGTCGGTAGAAGTATATAAATATCACAAACCATCCTTTCAAGTATCCAATCATTACAGAAACTAAATTGCCCTTCCTACAAACTCCGGGAAAACTTTAAAATAAGATACCATGATAAAAGATTATGGGGGAAATTGATATTTTACCATGTCCATCACATTCAGGACATAATTCCAGCTTCGGTTCGGTTTGGTATTGTTTTGATGTCTTATAAAGCAGTTGGGGTCATTTATGGATGGCCTTCCTATGTACACGAGATGAATGTAGTGTTGAGAGAGTACGTTTTCTGGAGCTTGCGATATGTTCGTGTAGATCTTGTATAAGTGCAGGACTGGTGCCGAATTTACAGTGTTATCACAATGAATTATCAAAGGCTGTCAGTAAAACACCTCACCTTTTAACATTATACTGCAAACCAGTGTTACATTACAACAATGGGGAGCGACATGCAGTGAATAGCGAACACCTGACAAAAGACTCTGGTATGTCTCGGGTGGAGAACATATCCACAAACCTTCCAAAAAATGGCGAAAGGTCACCTAAAGGTCAAAAATGAGGTTATTTCAAGGGAAACATTAAAGATAAAATAGTTGCATAGATAGAAGTTCCCTCTTTTGAATCAGTACTGGAAACAACAGGACATTCTTAAGACAGTATTTCTTAAAATTCTTTAGAAAGCATTTACTCAAGTGACGTAAGAACTAATGCTATATGACTTATAAATTTTAAATTTGTAGATGAATTGAGAATTTAATATGTGTGAACTATTTTGAAAATTTTCTCGAGAAAAGACATATCGCGCGGTAAATTGTGATGTGATCGCGTCATCTTTTACGATTCTGATATTTGGCTGTGGCAGATACCTGGATTTTTAACCAAAGGAAATATAACATTAGTCTCGTGCAATATATTACATTAGTAGATTTCGTATGTCGGTTTTACCAGCTGGATAATGGTTGTTTGTTTAGGAAACTAGAACGGCATACTGACCCCATTTTGTTTTCTAACCAACATAGATAAGCCTTTTGAGACCCGATTCTTGCCTGAAAAGTTACACTCAGAGTTTAAAGTAAGTGCTCAAATTCCACTCTCTGTCAAATACTTTGATCAAATCATGAGACGGCATGAAGATCTGGAACACACATAACATGGGATCTGAATACTTTTGTACTGCTTTTTAATAGGAGTTATTTCCCCTTAATTAGTTATATTGGATGCCCAACGGAATTTTTCATTCTTCTAAATGCCACTTAAATGTAAAAAAAAAGAAACAATAATTAAATTGAATGCTTCCAATTTATTTTGATATTTTTTCTAAAATGAGAACTAATGATAGAAAAAAATCTTGCAATAACGAGAGGAACAATTACATTAATTATAGAAAATACACCACCCATACATCATATACAGACAGAAAGTGCTTTATACATCCCAAACAATATTATCAACATTGCCTAATACAGGACTAAGCTTTTATATATATACTAAGCAGGCAATCTAGAGGATATATTGTACTCGGGAGATTACCAACTTTAAACATCTCTCAATTTTCATATTGAAATATGTAATTGAAGGATTTGCAAAAAAAAAATTATTGTGAGTCATAAATATATGAAAATATCAATTAAGTTATCAATTTCAAGCGAATGAACTAACTACTGTTTTGTAACAATATATTAAAGATCTCTCCGAGGCTGAAAGTTCAAAAGCCATACAATGACCAAGTAGGTAATGCCGTGACCGAGTGGTTCAGGCGTCTGACCGTCTCTTTTATTATAGTCCTCCTCTTCTGGGTTGCGGGTTCAAGGCCGACGCGGCCAGTCGCCAGGTACTAACCACCCGACGGGGCTTTTTCTGCGGGAACTCGGGCTATCCGCCAATATCCTAATCTGGCACGTCCTTAAATGACCCTGGCTGTGAATAGAATGTAAAGCAGTAATACACAATGGGAGTGCGACAGTGAGATCATCGTAAATGAAATTATGATAGATAAACCCGAGAATCTCGTTTTCAGGAAAAACCAAGTGCGTGGAGTGCGAGACAATCGAAAATTGTAATCGTAGATCTGAACGTTTTCCGGAGAAGTATTATATAGATTGGGAAAACTCCATTATATATATCAAAACATGTTTTATGGCTATAACATTCTACAATTCATTATTTCAAAGAAGTTGTGTTAAGTGATCCGCTCTCGATTCCTGCACTGCTCCTGGTCATATCTTTGGTAAACACTCAGAGCGTCAAGTACAAAATGGCAGGAACAATTGATAGAAACATACTCCATTATAAACGGTACAAGTGGCACTCTGGTATACATATTGATATAGTTCCACTAAGTCGGATTCCATGTTTAGTTAGGGAAAATATCGTCATGCAATCTGCGTTCTTAAATCATTTTTTTTTCAAATACAAAAAATAAAGATAAAAC